ATACTTTCAATAATCTGAAGAACAAGATTATTGACTCTACTTCCTCTCTCACTACCTGTTATAACCCTTTGCTTATAAATCTCCCAACATTTTGATTGGTAACTTATGTAGCAGAAGAGAATTTAAAGAACACAAGGTACAATACAGATGACAATGCTAAATGATAACTCATTTCCAGTCCAAGCTGAATACTTCCTTAACTTGGGGTATTAATAACCTATTTATAGAGAATGGATGATTAAACCAATCTACTGGCCTATCTAAATGCAGGTAGGGCTAAGTGCAAAGATTAGGACCCGAAGTATGAAAAAAGGTGAAACTTAGTTTTCTAAGAACAAAAGCAAAGATAAACAACCATCTACCATTTCAAAAAATTTACCAGAGGTAACAAAATACGCCTTTAATATAAAGACATAACGAGCTCCGCAGATGTGCCGCTTCTTCATCATGGAGAAGTCACAGGTACATTATACCTCTATAATACAGTGTTATCAACATGCAGTCCTCTTATCTTACAAAGTTTCCCCCCTACAAATAACGTGCCATTTATGCCTTATAACCCCTTTAAAGTCAAGAAAGTGATGATCTCAATGTCATTGGTAAGGAAACTGAAGTCCAGAGAGGCTGAGGGACTCACCCGAGTCGCATCATCAAGTCATTGACAGAACACTGCACTCCAAGCACAAGCCAAAATGATAATAAGACAATTCTTCACCTGAGGTTGTTCTTGTTCGAAGGACCATATGGGTACAAGTGGGGGCCGTGGCACTGTGTGGAGGAGATCCTACAGTGAACAAGACAGCTCTGGAACTTGCTGCTGTTCCTATAGGAGGTTCCAGTCTACCACCACAAGCTCCTGCAGGGGCTCCAGCGAAAAGTTCACACAATGTTACATCGCTTCCATGGTGTTTCGATTTGGGGGTGGTGTTACAGGGAGACCATTACTTTTATAGTTGGGTTTCTGGGGGCGTTTTTACATTAGGTACTTATTACTCTTAACATCAGAAAGTCAACACAGATCTGCATTAGTAGTATTTTACAGTACTTTCTTCTCAGCTGTGAACCTTCCTTACACCAAATCCGCCTACTCAGAGTCACCTCATAGACTTCTAAGGGACATGAGCTGCTGTCACACCTGTTAAGGATCATTCAAAAAAGTGGAAACCAAGAACTTAGGATAAAAATATGAGGGAAAGATGAAGGGAGATCAGGATTTTCCACGGTGTAAGAGCCAGAGAAAGTTGAGTCAAAGTACACATGGGC